ATAGGTACATAGGTATATAGGTATATAGGTATATGTATATAGGTATATAGGTATATAGGTACATAGGTATATATGTATATAGGTATATATGTATATATGTATATATGTATATATGTATATATGTATATAAGGTACATGGATAGATATATAGGTATACTATAGGTATATAGATGGATATACTGATAGATATATAGTAGATATATATATATATATATGTAGATGCACAATCAACACGGACGGTCGATGAAAGAAATAAAAATAAAAAAGCAAAGAATAAATACAAACTAAAAAATAATAATAATTTCATGAGAACTCCGCCTGCGTTGGCCACATGGGCGGAGGTATCCCTTTACCTACCGCAGCGGTGTTTAGTGAATTACGTAGACTATACAGCACACTGAAATCGTCCCCTCGATAAAAATGTGGGTATACCACCACTGGACGCGCACGTACACCTTGCCTGCCCGAATGTGTATGTGCACAAGCAAGGTGCCACCGCAGGCGGCATCTCCCTGTTGACTGACAGCAAGCACCGTCGCTGCATCTCCGGACCCCAAAACCTTGCGGCTGTGCTTCCCCGCCACCGCCCAGAATATGGTGTCGTCGCCGTTGTTGTTATTTCTCATTATTTTGTTTTTATGTGTTTTTTATTTCTCTTTTCTTTTCTTTTTTTTATTGTTTTTGCCTTTTTCTAACGCCGTTGATTTGGCTGTTTTTCCTTAAATATTTACGGTGTCACTCATGAGCGTGTTACTTCCCCATTGATCCTCCCTCCCTCTTCTCGCAATCCTTGTGACCACGCCACCCACCCCACGCCGCAGTAAAACAGTTGTCGGAGTTTCGTCAGCGCCAGCGTGTGCGCCGTCCTCCGCGCCTCTCTGTACCCCGGCAGCCTTCTGCAGGCGTCAAGCCGCGCCCAGCCCACAAACTCGGGTGGCCGAAGCGCAAGCGCAAGCGCAGGCGCAGCCACTTCACTTGACCCCTCACACGACTTCATACCAGGCGCCTTGGGATACCTCGATAAAATGAAAGAATCCTCTATCCTCATTATGGTTGTGTCATTGTCCATGCCCGAATCATCACCACGTGCGGCCGCCGGCACGGAGGCGGTCTCTGTGGTCACATATCCCGCACTTTGAAACGAGGCGCCCAGCTGTGGCAGTGGTGATGGTGGGGAGGACAGCGTGGAGAGCGACGACAGGGACAATGATGTGCAACAAAACAGACGCGAAGTAAACTCGGCTGCCGCATCACCACCAACACAAATAGGTGACACAGGCAACTCAACTTGAGGCACTTGCTCCGCGCGACTCGTTTTTTCCGTGACGGCCGTCGGACCCACTGGCAGGGCACGCCTCGCCCAAGAGAGATGCCGCAAATGTTTGTTGCCTGTCTCCGTGGGGCGTTGCGGCGAAAATGCTGACTGCAAAGACAAAGAATTTGCCTCTTGTGAGAGACCAATTATTTGCGCCTGTGGTAAGACTACTCGTTCTTCTCCGTCTATTTCCTGCTCTACCAGCTGCTGGGAGTCACGGGCCTTCCACTGCTGGTGACGCCGCCCACCGGCCCACACAACCGCTGAACCGCCAAGAATGGTGGGCGTAGAACACTCCCCCAGGGCAGGGGGCTCTGTCTCGGTGGTGGTGAGGCGCGGAAGGGAAAGTGCACTATCATCCCCCCCAACAACCGACGTCTTCTCCCCGCCACCCGGTGTGATAATGGTGCTCCCTGCCTCAACCGCCCTCAAACCCCCTGGTGCGTCTCTTAGCGTCGGGGTGTAGGCATCCAAACGCTTCTGGCTGCCTCTGATGTGTTGGTTGCCTTGCACGAAAAAAAAACTGTCGTCCACGTCATCACCTTTGGACGTATTCGCCGATCCGCCCTGCACAGAGGTATCCTTCTTCTTCCCTGGGCCTCCCGCGTTGTGAGACGACGCGGTCTGCTTCCTCGCGTAGGCGGTTGGTTTGGAGGGTCCCATAGGGGTGGAGGAAGCCCACTTTGCCTTCTCCCCCAATGTGGACTCCATCATTTCCAGCCCGCTCCTACTCTTCATTATCGCACGTCCTTTCTTTATTTTCTTTTTTTCCCCGCTCCCTTCTCCTTCCTCGCGCGATCTTGTCACAGGTTCCGCCCGTGCGCACTCCCCCACAGCGTCGTTTGCGGCGGGAAGCAGGCAATGCTAGGAAGACAAACAGCCACAGAGAACACTCACTGCGGCGGTATCACAGGCTATATATATATATATATATATATATATACTAGGAAGTGACGAAAACTTGTGTGTGTGTGTGTGTAG